ACAGGACCCTATCGGCCATTGCACCCTAAAACACCTCCAGAAGCCTTGTGCCACACCTTGTGGCATGCAACGCAAAGCCTGTTTTGCGTTATAAAAATGCCACTCTCATGGGCTCAAACACAGCTCTTGTATCATTTTGGATATTTTGAACTGCAGGAGAAAAAAAAGGGGAAAAATTGTCATTAGGGACTTGAGTATCCCAGAGGGCCCAGAAGAGACCCAGAACTGAATACTATTTCCTGTAGACCTGGCTAATCTAGCAACAATTAGAATCATAGAATCATAGACTAATTAAGGTTGGAAAAGACCTCTAAGATCTAATTAGTTTTAAGCAGAGTAGGTACGGATCAGTCCACAGGGCCTTGGGGCTGGGATTTAGTCACCAGCCCTCTTTCAGCTGGCAGCATAGGCACAGCTGTGGAAACTTAAGGTCGATTGCCAGGGGAGGCCTCCCCCGTGGCTGCAAGTCATGTCCCCTAGCTCAGCTCCCTACTAGCAGGACGTTGAAGACCAGGGAGGGTGCAAGCAGTGAAAGGTGGAGCTCACCGTGTTACCTCCATGTAAGTAAGAAGCTTTTATAATTATCAGTTTCCTTTGTACAGCTTGGAGGCATGTGTCTGTGCAGTGTGGTGGGAGCAGAAGTGACCTCTCCTTCTCTGCTGTACCCACGTGGAGGGGGACCCATGAAAATGCCAGTCTTCTCCAGTGTTTTCCCCTTACCGTGCAAGGGGACAATGCAGGCAGCAAGGCAGCTCGTTGCCCAGATTAAAATAACTCAGTTCTGCTTCAGATCTTGCTTATATTTTACCAGCTTCGTATCTGAACATTTCATTAACAAAAGCAAATGGACTATAACGTCTTCTAAGCAAGCTTGCTCAGAAATCCCTGAATCAATCAAAAGCCAGGGAAAACAAGTCATTGCATCTGATGCATGAGTTCTTGGAATTTTAGCTGTATTAGGCAATATCTCTTTGTTCACTCAAATTAGCCTAATTGCACACATATTTATTGTCCACTGTTCTTTAGTATCTAGGCAAAATCAAAGGAGGCTGTTTCAGTACAGAGATAGCAATTTTGCATGAGAAATACGGATAGTTTTACATCAGACTAATAATGCTATTCCATTATTCAAAACCAGAGCTAAAATTAGCAGGCACCTCAACAATCAGATGCATATTTTATCCTCAAGGTATGAGCCTGAATTAGCACAGACCTCTGCCTCCTATCAATAGCCCTTATTTCTATATGGGCTCTTTTACGCCAAGATCATTGGCATGAGATAGGCACGTGAGACTCAGACTACCTTTTACGTTTGTATCTTCCTATTTAAATACTAAAGGGACTCCAGAAGTCATGCTCCGTTTGCATCCATTTGCTATGTGCCGGAAAACTACATAAACCTCCAGATCTGATGTTTTATATACATTTTTAATAGCAAATCACTTGCTGTTACCTGTTTAAAGGAAAATGGAGTCAAACCCACCTGCAGAATTGCACCTGCTTGTGCTCACTACAGAAGCACCGGTGCTTTCTTGAGGCCCTCCTTGAAATTATACGGCATCTTTCCCCCTGTTGGGTGGCCAAGGGATGAGGGAGCCCCTAGCACAGAGCAGGTGCTGTAGCTCATCTGCACATTCTAAATAACAGCCAAAGCCTTGTTGTGCAATAGCCACGAAATGGTCCATTAGGAGGTCTTTTAATAGGCCATATGTGAGCAGCACTTGGACAGATGGAAAAACTCCCTCTTGACCAGTACTGTGTTTTAAGCACCCTTAATCTGCAGGGACATTGCTACTTGAATGGAATACTGGGCACCTTGAAGAATGCAATAAACCCAAACAAAGCTCTCTGGTTTAGTCTCTATACGTTATCTGAGACATGAAAGTGTGAGAGAAAGGGTAAAAGAAATCATAGTTCTGGTATAAAATCCTCAAATGTCCCACCTGCCTGTGCTGATGGAGTGGTTACTTCACACCTAAAGCCCAGGCCAGCTTTTTCCCTACTCAGTTCAGAGGCAGGTGGAGGAAATGTGGCTGCTCAAAGATGGTGAAGAATGACAAAATACTGTAAATCTGGATCAGGGACTTGTCTCCTCATTGCTGGGGTGCACAGACCAGGGTGGGGCTGCACAAGGCAGGGGTTTCACCCAGGGTGGTTCCTCCCTGTGGAGGAGCAAAATGGTCAGATGTGCCGCCTCCTCTTCATGGGCTGTAGAAGATGCTTTGCTCAGAAGCTGCTGAGATATCTCTGTTCAGGTGAGGGGAGTCCCCCCAGCTGCTGGGCAGGACCCAGGGCTAACTCCTGGGGGCTGGGGGGGGCAGTTGCCCCCATCACTGGCACTGGGCATCACAGGGTGGCAGCCAGGCCTTTTCCTTCCCAGCAGCTGAGTGCAACCCATTTATTTTCACCCAAATCAGCCTAATCACATCCATATTTATTGCCTGCTGTTGTGTTACGGGTAGGCAACACCTCCTTAGCTGCTTCAGATCCTAGGGGGCTGCCAATACCATGCTGCTGTTACTGTGGTTTCTCCATGATCTCTGTGCTCCTGGGGCTTCTGCCACTTCTATCTCTTAGGGTTAAAGAGACCTTCAGACTTCTTAATATCAAAAGAAACAGTATCAGTGGGAAGTCTGCTTGCTGAGCATGGTTCAGATCAAACCGTGTTCTCAAAGGCTCCTGGAAGGGTTCAGGGCTGTGAGCCCCAGACAGCAGGAGCATTGCTTTGCCTGTTTGCAGGAGGGGAAGGAAGTATCAGCTGCAGGACCAGAGTTTGTAATTCACCTTGCTGCCCCAGCTGGAGGAGAGTTTAGTCCCCTCTTCTAAGAGCTGCACACAGAAACAATATTTGCTGATATTGGTTTACCATCCCAAGGGGGGAAATTACTATGAAATGTTTACAAGGACCATTTGAAACCTGAGAAGAGGATGTTTTTAGTAGTGCGGAAAGAGCCAAATACCTTAGAAGAGAAATATTCCAGCTTTAAGAATTGATTACCACTTCCCAGTAATGCAGGTTCACTATTAAATAACCTTGCGCAATTTCCTGGACAGATACATTTTAATGGCAATATTGTGCACAGATCAAAAGCAAAATACGGTTCACTGAACTGTGACTGTGCAAGCCCAGGCACATGGGCAGATGCCTTTGCCTAAACACTTATCGAGCAAAGTCCGGAGGATGAGACATGGGGCTAAAGCAGCCACCTATACACAGCAGCTCACACCATGAGGGCCTCTGGGTGAGGATTTCTCCTATGGATGGTTATTTTCAGTCCAGGAAGGAAAGCATAGATAGTAAACAACCAAGTGCATTTTTAAAAGCCGCAGCTGTGACATCTATGGAGCTCTACAGTCATTATGCAAACTTTACTACATAGCTTTTTAGTTGTAAATCGAGTATCATAGGCTAGTGAAATGGATGCTCAATTTCTGTATCCTAATTTTTCTTTTGGTAGCGTGGGAAGATAGGATATAACTGGTTATGCTCCACAACGTACACTGGCATAACAAGTCACAGTGCGTATTTATGCTTCTTTCAGTCAAGAGCATCAAGCAATGAATGTAGTGAGAAAACCTCATAAATCAGTTATCTGAAAACCATTTTCAGTAAAAAGGCATTGCTTTCTCCTTCTTTTTACATAGGCGGAAAGAGGAGAGCGGTGGAAGAGCAAGTCTGAGAATCAATGGGGTTTTCTGGAAGTCTGAATTGTCGCTAATTACCCAAAATCCAAGCTGAGCTGCTGTTTTGTGAGCCATGTTCTAACTCATAATAAGCTTTTCAGGGATGTCACTCTGAAGGTTTCTCAGGAAGACAGCTTTTTGGAGGATCGCATGGTACCTCGGTGAGTGATGCAGTGACAGCATCACCCCAGGAGATATTGCTCCTAGAAGGACAACTGGCTTCGGATCCTGGCTTTAGGAGCATCTGAAGAGATCCTGTTGTCTTACTGGTGTGAATAGCCAACCATCACGTGCCAAGTGCAACAACTGCTGCAAAAGGTCAACTTTCCCTAAAGGATTTTCTTCTGAACCTATTCAGACCTTTCTAAATAAACAGCAGCCTCACCAAAAGCTGTTGAAGTCCCACAGGACTAAAATTGTTTTATAGGAGGTCCAGGCATGGGGTGCAGATTTGTTTCTAGTCGTCTGTCCATCCAAGCCTCGACCACTTTTGCTCCCTGTCTGAAGATGGAACCCAGCTCTTACACACGATGTGAACGTGGTCCTTCTTGTCCGCGGTCCATCTTGTCCACGGTCCTTCATCTGAACAAACCACAGAAATACAGCATGGACCTGTGGCAGTGACCATCGCATGTGCTGATAGCCTGCGTGCTGCCAGGAGGCAGCAAGGAAGCAGCCGGGGTCCAGGCTGCTCGAGCAGGGCAGGAAGCAAGGGGACATCCGTAAAGCCTTTTGAAGAACGTATCCCTATCTTTGTCTAGGGATCTGCGGCTCCTGAACTGAAGCACACGGAACAGGTTGATGGCAGCTATTTTAAAATTCATGAAGTCTTAAAGCATTACCAGATGATTTCAGTGCTGGGAGATAACTAGACAAAATGGCCCAACAGGAGGGAGATGCTGATGTAGTAGCAGCCATAATAGTGCATGATGCCGCACACGTCCCTGCTTCTGAAAACCCACTCATCCGTCTTGTCAGGGGAAATTGCTGTGATTCTGTTTCATAGCAGAGGTGGTGGGAGGAAGGAGGCAGATGCATATTTTCCTCTGATCAAGGAGAAAGGCCAGGCTGTGCCCCACTTACCTTCCTGAAGCCACCCTGGCCTCCGGGTGAAAGGCTTAGAGACCGGTGATAGCAAGTATTTGGTAGGGAGGGTGCAAGTGGCCATGGTCCAAGAGAAACAAGGCTTTGGGGCTCCTCTGCTAGCACTTGAGAGATGGCTTTCCCTCCCTGCCCCAGTGTGCCCCTCTTTGTCTGCTCGCCCCGGACTGAAGAAAATGCCAGGGCACCTTCTGGCTGAAGGTAAATCTGTGCCAGCCAGGGCAAATTCTGGCAAACAGGTTAAATGCCTAATTTATGTATCTGTACCCGAAAGTGTTATCCAGAATGCCCCAGCTCAGCTGCTGCCTTACACTGGAGGCAGGTCGGAGCAGCCCTCCCTCCCTGCCATGGGTATGCTTTAGACAGTGAGATTCCCCATTACATCCCCGAGGGGCCTCATCCTGCTCCCAGCACGCAGCTGAGCCAGCCTGACAGTGTGGGGAGGGGATGGGTGGGTTTGCACCTCCACCTCAATGTGGGTGCCTACATAACGAGGGGCATCTCTTTAGGTTCTCCCCATAGGAGAGAAATCAGAAAAATCACTGTATTTGCCCTCCTGCCCATCTCTCCCCCTCGTGTGCCTGGCAGCCTCCTGCCCAAACTCTCCCCCTGTACCACCACACAGCCAGGACAGCTGCCAGTGGCTTCTAAAGGCTCACAGGGAGGCAGCGGGAGGCAACCAGAGGTTGGTGCCTACTGGTTTTTTTCACCAATGGCCTTTGATGACCATGGTGAGATGCAGAGAGGTCCAGTACAGGTTACCTGCCCTTTTAGCGTATTTTGTGCCCATGTATGAACTGGATACCTTTAGCAACTTGCTCAGTGAAAATCTGTACTGGATGCGTGAGTAGGAAATCCAGCTTTGTCATTTCCAAAGACAAAAGCTACAGTTTAAAGAATTACCAAAACCATATCATAGTGGTAATTTCTCTTGGAAACAATGTTACCCCTGATTCAGGAATGTGAAATGCTGCATAAATATCCCACTTGTGATTTTTCAAATTCCCCTCCAGATTTCCCCATGAATGCGTGGCCTGTGTGGTGAGTTCGAGTCTGCCAGGGATGTGCTCATGCTCATCAACCCCGTCCCCCTGCTCACCTCGAGTCTGCAGCCCAGTGTCCTGGGTCTGGCAGAGCAACTTTCAGTGAAGAAATATTTAAAATGTGTTTTAAACAGTACTTCTATTTGTCCAGGCTGTCACTGTGCTTTTGCACTTCCATTAATTCAAGAGTGTTGGACCCATTTTGCAGTCCAAGTTTCAGTCTGGTCCTGCAGGTCTGGAGCTGCCTCCCTTCAGCTCTCCTGCTCCCTTTGGTAGGGCAGCACTGGGCCTTCAGAGAGGAGATATACAGGTAACATGCCTGGACTGATGTTGTGTGCGTGGCCCTTGATGGGGAATAGTGCTGCTGGCATCCCACACCCCTACCCAGCGCTAAAACGGGCCTCTGATGCTTCCTTGCAGAGCATCACCTTGCTCAGTTACCCTTCCCTCGATTGCCACCATCGTGAAGACTTTCATCTGCAGATCAGGAGGGGAGGTGTCCCAGAAATTTTCAAGTCCCAGGGGTCAGAAACAACAGATACTGCCCACTAACTACAAGGGACTTCTGCAGCAGTTACCTGCCTTTCCTAACAAAGGCAAGAAGAAAAGGGTCTTTGGACTTAACCTCTGAAAACAAAATAATAAAAAAACCTATCTTACTGGAGCTGTGTGTGAGCAGGAACAGCAAGTTTCCCCCTGTACAGATTACTCCACTTCCACACTTTCTACTCAGCATGGAGCAGAGCTTTATTTTTTTTACCAACACAATGCAGATACTTCAGAGGCATATTTGAAGTGCAAAACCCACGTTCCATGCTTAGACATCCAGCAAACAGTTAGTAAAAACCATTCTAGTATGGTGTAGAGCTTATGTGAAATAAGAGTGAGAAGTCTAACCTGTTTCCAATGGCTACAAAATTGCCCTGCGGAAGACAAAGATGTGATTCCTTTTAAGTGTAGCTATTTTCTGTTAAGGGAACCTACGCATCAGTCCTTCCTACCACACATCTTCAGGGAAAGCAACAGCCATCCCACACGCTCCTCTGCTGCGGATTGCTCAGCGCTTTGTCCCACGGTAATCTGTAGGAGAAACTCAGCCCTCCTGTTAAATGCTTGGGGCCTGAAAGATTAATTCTGTGGGCTAGATCTCTAAAGCAAGCGGTGCAGCACATCAGAAATTGGAACTCATTCCTAACAGCTTATCATCACTCAGGCGATTACAGGTGCAAGCAAAACAGCAATCTTTGAGGGAGAACAGAGATCCTATCATAATCAGAATTCTTACAGATAGTTTTATATTTTTCATGTTTAATAGAGCTTTTTTTTTCCCTCTCCATATAAAGCTTTCCATCAAAGGCTTTCCAAGTGTTTTATAAAGGCAGGTGAGTATTATATCATCGTCACTCCCATTTTACAAACAGGAAACGGAGACCCCAAAAAAGTCATTTTGAGCAGCATAAAACAGCAAATCCCAGCCCAAAACAGAAATGGAATCAAAGTCTCCTGGCAAAAATTCCTTTCTCCAACTACCACTATTTAGTTGCTATGCAGCTTTTTTTTTGTTTTGTAAAAATAACCCAACCAGTCAAACAAGAAAGAACGGCAAGGAAATCGCGAGCTTCGACATACTTACTTCCATACTGCTGGCATTAGTACAAAAATAAAGATTTTTGTTAACTAGTTTACAAAAACAAAGTCTGTTAAGTCACGCAGGATCTCATTGGGGGGTTCATTTGACTTTAGAAGATAAAGCCTGTTTGAAACGTCTCTTTAGATCTTGCATGTTGGGAGATTTGGGCCGAGGGATGATGGACGACCGCCTCCTGTCCGTGCTGCCGGCGTGCTGTAGTTTGCTGACCTCCTTGCAAAGGTAATGGAAAACATCACAGACGCCTTGGGAGTCGTCACTCGTGGAGATTTCCAAGAACAGGCTGCCCAGTTCATTTGCCAGCTGTGGTCCCTCTTTCGCCTGTACTTGCCTGGCATGGAGGAGGTCTGCTTTGTTCCCCACGATAATGATGGGAGTCCTGGCATCTGGGTGGACCTTGCGTATGTACTGGTAGAGAGGTCGGACTGACTGGTAGCTGCTGTAGTCTGTGATGGAGTAGACCAGGAGGAAGCCCTCTGCCCACTTCACGCACCTGGACAGGGAGTCCAGCACCTGCACGCAGTCTTCCTGCATCTGCGGTACGACAGAGAGCACAAATTTGGCATTGCGTTGTGAAAGTATAAAGCCTGCATCGTAGATAGCACCGTTAAACAGGTCCAAATGGAAGCCTGAGCCCTGTCTCAGGAAACTGAGCCAGGCCTCGTATGAAACTGGGGCTCAAAAGCTGAGCCTTTAGGTGGCAGAGAAGAACCGATCGGTCCGAAGCATCTCCGTACCTGGATGCACCCCGGCGTGTCTTGGATCTGCACGGCAACGTGGTCCCCGTCCAGATGGACCAGCCTGGAGTAGAGGTTGCCTGGGGAGCAGAGAGCCGTCAGGCACAAGC